GGGAGCCCGATGTGGGACTCGATCCCAGGACCCTGGGATCATGACCTGAGCCGAAGGCAGACACTTAACGACTGAGCCACCCAGGCGCCCCTATTCAATTGAATTTAATGGCACAATATACTTTCTCTTTTCCTCTGCTTTTTAGGTCAGGAATAAATTAGATGGTCAGTATTACGCAATTAAAAAAATCCTGATTAATGGTGCAACTAAAACAGATTGTATGAAGGTATGCTTTTTTTAAGTGTATTTATTTTGAATGATGGGGTATTTAGATCCTTTTGAAAGAGTTATGTATGTGTGTGTATTTGGCAAATACTAGGTGTTGTGGATTGCTGAGTTTACTAAAAGTGGGTTACGTAAAATAAAGCAAATTTTTATTTGACTTAATTTTTTATTTTTAAAAAATTTTTTTTGAGAGAGCAAGAGAGAGTGTAAATGGCGGGGAGGGGCAGAGGCAGAGGGAGAGGGAGAATTCCAAGCAGGCTCCACGCTCAGCATGGAGCCCAGTGCGGGGCTTGATCTCACAACCCTGAGATCATGACCTGAGCTGAAATCAAGAGTCGGACGCTTAACTGACTGAGCCACCCAGGCGCCCCCCTCTAAGCAGCTTGGGTCTCCTGTCCTTGACATAGTGGTGACCGCAGGACTGGACTTACTAGTGGTCTATGTGCTGCTGAAGGACAGCACAGGGAGTGCCTGGACTTACTGGGAGGAATGAAATGAGAGAATGAACATAAATGGGCTATGGAAAGTATGAAGCACTAGATATGTGTAAGTTATTTTGTTGCTATAACAATTCCATTTGTCTCTCAGAAATAGTCTGATTATTTTAACATAGTTTAGACTCCTTGTTCGGTTGGGTTTTTATTGTTTTGCTCTGGAACAAGTAGTATTTGATGCCGTGCACATTGAACAAGTTGTCAGTGAAAGCCAGATCGAAGTGCATTTCCTCTTTAGGTCCTGCGGGAGGTGAAGGTGCTAGCAGGCCTTCAGCATCCTAATATCGTAGGCTATCACACTGCTTGGATAGAGCATGTTCACGTGGCCCAAACACGAGGTAAGCCGTTACAGATGGTATGGCTGTCCGGTTGGCAAACTGCGACCCGTGGGCCAAACCCGGCCTGCCCCTGCTTCGTTGCCTCCTGAGAGCTGAGAGTGTTTTCTTACATGTTTAGATAGTTTAAAAGGAATCAAAAGAAGAATACTTTGTGAAAGTTACAGGATATTCAAATTTCACGTCAATGAATAAAGTATGTTAGTACCCAGGCGCATTCATTCGTGTGTTGTGTGTGGCTGATTTTGCACTACAACAGCTGAACCGAGTAGGTGCAGAGTCCTAGGAGGCCTGTAAATCCTACAACACTTACTCCCGGCCCTCTACAGAAAGTTTGCCTCTCCCCTCACCCCCGCAGCATAGTTGAACGGCTCTGTTTTTATAGTTCCTAAAATGTGCCAGGCATTTGAATAAGCTTGTTGTATCGTATTTTCCTAGAAAATATTGACATTTTTAGACTTGTGGTCTCATTTGGTGTTATTTTAGCTCTGTTTTCAACCATAAATTAGAAAGCTAGGCTGCTTGAAAATGGGTTTTTGTTTTTGTTTGTTTTGTTTTGCAGATAGAATTTCTATTCAGCTGCCATCTCTGGAAGTGATGTCAGACAAGGAGGACGACAGGTATGTGGACTGGTGTGTAGTTTGACACGTTAGATGTAACCTGTCACCTACACTGAGTTGTCTTTGTCTTTTTGCTCATTTTCATTACGGAGTGCTAAATGGCTTCTTCCTCTCAGCTAGTTCCGGCCAGTGTTTCTTTTTTTTTTTTTTTTTAAAGATTTTATTTATTTATTTGAGAGAGCGAGAATGAGAGAGAGTACATGAGAGGGGGGAGGGTCAGAGGGAGAAGCAGGCTCCTCGCTGAGCAGGGAGCCCGATGCGGGACTCGATCCTGGGACTCCAGGATCGTGACCTGAGCCGAAGGCAGTTGCTTAACCAACTGAGCCACCCAGGCACCCCCGGCCAGTGTTTTCAATAAATGTTGCTGCTAGAGAGATCTGATGCCATGTGCTTCCAGAGTTTACCAGTGAGATTTATGTAGGTGTGAAGGGACAGCTGAGTCACTCTTGATCTTTTTTTTTACACTGATATTTATCTTTACCGTTTTTTTTTCCCTCCAGAAATCAGCATGTTAAAAATGATGAAAGTAACAGCTCATCCATTATCTTTGCCGAGTTCACCTCAGAAAAAGAAAAGTCTTTAGGAGAATCTGGCATTGACAATCAGAATAACAGATTGGTGAACTGCAACACCAATTTAATCACAAGAACCGCCTGTGAATTTGAATCATCCAGTTTGCTCCAAGGAAATGGTTTGGCTGATTTGCCTTCCAGATCGATTGTTGAACATCAGCTGCCATTTAGGCATCATTCCGACTTAGAAGAGAATTTCACATCCACCGGGGAATCTTCTGAAAACTTAAGTTTGTTGGGGCAGACAGAGGTAGTTCACTTTCCCAGAACCTACTGATGATTTGATGCTCACCCATAGTCATAGTGTGGAGGACCCATGACTAGATGTGGCCTCCCTTCCACCCCAGCTGACCGTGCACCTTGCCCCCCAACCCCAATATGTCTTTGTCAGCCTCTCCCCGCCACGTCCCCCTGGCGTGTCTCCCTGGCCTGTGGCCCTTGTGTTGGGTCTTCCATCCTTTGCTTAGTTAACGCCTGCTAATCCTTTTCTGGCCACTTCTGTTTCTTCTCATTTGTGCCCCCGGAGTTGGAAGCATTGTTCACACCGTTTCTGTTGTGTGTTCTTATCATGCTATGCAAATACATTATGCATAAAGACCTCTCTTTTGGAATGTGACTTGAGGAGAGAAGAGATCAGGTCTGTTTTCAGGACACTCTCATTGAGGGTCACACCCATATGCCGGTGAGATTGCCACATGCTCTCCCCGGTGTGGAGTCTTAGTGTTAAAAAGGACTTGAATGCTAACAGGGTCTCTGTATAATCTGGCACTCTGGGATTACAGAACTGGATATGCCCTCTGTATATGCACATGCAGAATTAATTCTTGTTGCCCGGGAATATGTGGCTCCCTGCATGTGCTTTTTATGAGACACAAAACTTTGAACAGAATCACCTGAATACACAGGAGTTGAATTTGAGGGACTTTTCATCAGAACCATTCCATTTCTCCACACTACATTTGGGACTTTGCTTAGTGCCTAAGTGCATGCGCTGTCGTGAGCTTAAGTTTTGCTTAACTTTTCCAAGTTATTTATGGACACAGCGAGGCCTCCAAAATGCGCATCTACTTTGAGGTGCTCGGAGAGCAGTAGAGTGGTCCCCAGCCATTCTTTGACGCTGTGTCTGAGCTTTAGAAACTGCATGTGGCGAGCAGACCCAATCGTTTCCGCGCCAGGGCCTCAGTGTCACCTTCGGGAGCTTGTCCCGCCCTGCAGCCCAGGCCTCCCCCTGCTCGCTCGCATTCTGACGCACCGTTTAAGGCATTCCTTCCTTCCTCTGTCTCCTTCACGAGACTTTGGGCTTCTTGGGCGGACGTGTGTCTGTCATCTCTTTCCTGAGCATGTAGCCCCCTGGTTGGCCTAGCGGAGGCAAGTGATACCTGTTGACTGAATGAATAATGCGAGCAAGTTGTGCCCAGGTGGGAGCCAGCCGTGTTGTCCCCCAGGTGCAGTACCACCTGATGCTGCACATCCAGATGCAGCTGTGCGAGCTCTCGCTGTGGGACTGGATAGTCGAGAGAAACCAGCGGGGCCGGGAGTATGTGGACGAAGCTGCATGTGAGTAACAGGTGGATCTTGGAACACTGGGCTGGGAAATGGAGACACTGGCGGATCTTCCGATGTAGGAACTACCTGCAGGTGCTTTAGACTCAGGAAAAAAATCACCTTTTCGAAACGATTGTGCTTATTTCAACATTTTCAAGAACATACAGGTATTTGGAAGTTAATTTTCTCTGAGATAAAGATATAGTTTGTGGATTCCTAAGCTGTAATATGCTAGAATTTAGGTTAATGATTTTGGGCACAAAAGGTCTTAGAATTTTTTTTTTAAAGATTTATTTATTTATTTATTTGAGAGAGAGAGAATGAGAGACAGAGAGCATGAGAGGGAGGAGGGTCAGAGGGAGAAGCGGACTCCCTGCCGAGCAGGGAG